GAAGACCTGTTTAAGAATGGACTGTATGGGATACTGAGGAAATTTTAATTAATAGTCCAATAGTTCTGCTTTTCCTCCCTTAACCACTGGAAACTTTTCAAACATAATGCATTCCTTGTTCAGCAGCAACCCAAAATAGAAATAACAACTGATATTTGAATAGACAGTACTGCCAAGATGCAGTCTCTATTATAATCCTGGATATAAGATGTCACCATGCAAAACAGATGCAGCATCACCTTTGTACTAGCACACATGTAGGAGAAAATGCCCTTGCCAAGGACATAAATAGGGCCCAAATGCCATGTATTTCATTTAGTATGAAACTGAACAGGAAACTTAAAATTCAAGGCCTGAAATGGTGTTTCCTACTTAAAGCTCCAGTAAAATGGCTGTTACTTGAATATAACTGTTTTTGCTCTGAGTTTCAGAAACAGGGGATAAGAAAAATTGAAATACATGTTACACTATATTGTTGTCTAAACTCTGAAAAGAATTCCAATTGCAAGGTTGTGGAGCTTATCATCTTAAAGGCAACTGTAGAGTTCTTCAAATGTCAGCTGCTGCAGCACTGCAGTAAAACTAAATATTTCCTTAACGCAAGTCAGCACGCTCCAGTACTGACCTTTAATACCAACCTTTCTCCTCCCATGCCTTGAATCCGTTAGCTGAAAATCCTTATGGTTATAAAACACTTAATTATGAAGATTGGATTGTATTTTCATCTCCCCCAGGGCTTATGTTACATAAATGATTGCTACCTTTATTGAACTATAGTATAGTAAATAAGAAAAGAACACCAACGCTGTGCTGAATAAACCCCTAAATCTGTTATTTAAGAAGTAGCAAAAATCGGAACCCCAGAATACTGACTCTTCAATGAAAATGAAATTTAACTAGGAGCACTGAATTAATCAATTGAGCTTTCTGCTTACTTCTCAGTTGCAATGCCGTTGAGAAGATAGGCTGAAGAGAATAGGTACACTCTCTTCCCAACAGTTTATAGTCTCCGTGCTTTGAATATTTCCCCCAGATGTAACATTATGTCAGCTGGTGCCTTAAAAAGAATAGGCACTACTCTCTGGTGTTAATCTGTTTTTTTTAAGGTTTTTTTTTTGGGGGGGGGAGCTCAAGTCCCAAAGCCATTAAGGGGTATGGAAATGTGCATGTTTAATAATGACCTGCTTCTTAACACTGTTTCTCACTTTAAAAGGTGATGCAACAATGAAAGCTTGCTTAGAGTGATATTTGACAGTCAAAACCTAAAACTACCTTGGCTACATCCAGGTAATTCAAAGGTGCAAAAACCTTGGAATCTTATTTGTGGTTGCTTTCTAAAAATGGCTTGGCATGAGATCCCACAGATTTTTAACCACCCCCCCATTCCTTTCAGCACCCCATTTGGCTCTCATCACTTTGGCATCGTCTTCTCGGGATGGTGACAATGACAAGCGAGCATATTTCATCTGGAATTTGAACTGAGAGGGTTCCCCGCTGCTTATTAACTTGGCACTAATGCTGGGAGCAGAATTTGACATAAGCGAGTTAACCTGACTTCCAGGGATGGCTGCTGTTTCATAGGCATGTAATATTATGATTTGATGACATCATATTTCACATGTCAAATCAATATTAACGTTTGTAGGTCAAATTTATTTTTATTAGTATTATTATCTGTAAAGCCAGCGTAACTTTAAAATAACCAAAATCAGAAGAATACCTCACTTGCCGCAAACCTGAAGACAACGCTGCTTCCTTTCTCTCTCCACGGGATGAACCCGCCTCGAGCAAGGAGAGGCTGCCGCCGCCGCCGCTGCCTGGCATCTCTCATAGTTGGTTTTGGCTTTCCCAGGAGGAAGAGGAGCAACTCCCGCTTCCCAGAAGTGCGCAAATGCACGCCGCCTCCTCCACGACATCTTCACTGAAGGAAAACGGCGGAGGGATGGAGTTTCTTCTTCAGAGTTTCCGGCGTCTTTGGCTTGGCTTGGCGCGGAGCGAGGGCGGGAGGGGAATAACAACCTCTCGCCCGATCCTGCGTGGCAGCAGGTTGCAGAGGCGACCTGGGAGCTCCTCGCAGCCAGGTGGGCCAGGCCAGAGGCGAGGCGAGGCGCGGCGAGGCGCGCGGCCTCTCTCCCTCGGGGGTCTCTCCTGCCTCGAAGAAGGGGCTGCGGCTCCCTCACGCCGGGCAAGGGGCCGAGGGGAAAGTCCCGCACACACCAGAAGGGCGAAGCCCGCGGAGGAAAGGCCGGCAAAGCCCGCGGAGGAAACCCAATAAATAAAATCGGCGAAGGCGCGGAAATTTAAAAATGTTTGGACAGGAAGAGCAGGGGGAAAGAAACCGTCAAGGGGAGGGACGGGGGGAAAGTAACGGTCCAGAGGCTGCCTCTTCTCCTCCCCTTCGGCCGCTCGGCTTCTGGACACGGGTCGCGGGTGGGCCCCGTCTTCTGCCCTCGCGCCACCGGCCACACGACCACCGCCCGCCGCCGGCAGATTCGCTCCAGGAGGCGCGAGAGGAGGGAAGGAGGCGCGCGGCGGCGGGCGCGTAGGCCATGTGAACACCGACATTTTGAGCGCCTTGCCTCTGGGCCAGAGCGGCTCTTGGGGAAAGAAGCCGGCCTGCCATGACGGGGTGGGATCCTGCCCCCCACCCGCTTACAAAAAGAACAACAACAAACGGATTTATTAAGCGGGATGCAGGTTTCAGGAGCGCCATTGGCGGGCAACTGTTGGCTGTTATTCCTGCGCCATACCTGGGACGAGGAGCAGCCTGGTGGAACCGCTAAAATTACGCACGTCTCCTCTGCGGGCGGAGAGCACCCAGGAAGGGCGAGGGGTGCGGGTGGGTGTGGATTTGTTCAAATGCTTGGGAAACTGCACGTTTTCAGTTTTGTGATCGAGCAGCGCGCCGTTGCCAAGCCTGTCAGGAACCTGGACATGAACTTTATATGCCACCCGGGCAGCGTTATTATGCGCGCTTACACCCCGTGGGATCTAAGGGCTGCTAGGTGTGCTGAATGTGCATTGGATCGCTGCCCGTTTTACCGGAGCATGCCATGTATTGACTCCCACGCACACTCACACCCAGCCTTAATCGCTCCAGATTTGACTTGCACCTCCATCCTTTTATTTAGAAGCAAGTGGCGTTGCTTTCAGCTGAACCTGCTCCCACTAAGTCAGCTTCCCCTAATCCTAAACACACTTTCTTGGCAGGAAATCTTGTCGAAATAAATGCCACTTACTTCCTAAGGCTAAGCCATAGGAGTCCACAGGACTTTTCTGACCTCATTTGCTCTCCCGTGGAAGGAAGTTCTGCGGAAATCTATTGGTCCCGTTTGTAAACGCTTTTCCTGATGGTGCTTTCTTGAAAGTAAGTTTAGTGGAAACTTTTGCTAGTTACTTTCCAAGACTACAGGAGTTATCTTGTAGCAGGCACACGCTATAGTGCGTGCACGCACACACCCCTCCGCCCAGCGCATCGCAGCCGATTGACATTTTCTTCATCCCTATCTATATTATTAGACTGTTTATTAAACATTAACCCCGACATATGTATTCGTATTCGATTTCTGTGTGTGTGTGTGTGTGTGTCGGATATTTGGTTCCAAGGATCAGCACGCTAAAATAAGCACCTCTTGGGCCACGATCCTGCGCATACTCTAATGGGGAGTGAGTGCAATTGAAAGGAGGCTTGCTTGCGAAATATGGCTTCAGCTTGCTTACTTGGCAAAACGCGCTCTTAAAATAATAGTGTTCATGGTATTGAGGATCGTTGCCACTCACCCTTCAGCAGTGCTCTTGGGTTCATAGCTTAAGACTGCAATCCTATACGCACTTGTCTTTATGAAAGCCTCACTAAACTCAAGGGGACTTACTTCTGAGTAGTCATGGGAAGAACTGGGCTGTAAAGCACTTTTTAAAAAGCCTAACATCTTCAATAGCTTATGCAATATTTTATAAAGGTCGGTTAGGTCTGTCCTCATGACTAAATCCACATTCTTTGCTTTTAGACGGACAATATCCAGGGCAAGAGTTCTTGCCGGCTAAAAATAATGCTGAAACTTTGGGGTTTTATTGCTTGTTTGAAAATGAGTGTTCCTGTTCTTCTGGCCTTACAGCCCTGGAACCGTAAAACTCATTTCTGAAACCACGCTGAGTTCATAACGTTTCTTTTGCGCGAATAATGCAAAGCAATGACAAATTTGACTATATTTTGTGTCTCTCCGTGTGTTTTGTTTTTGAACCCATTAGCCAACTCCTGTCGCTTGTTAAAAGGCCTGTCACTATATATACCACCAGCTTCGAATATTAATAGTTTAGCTTTTTGGATAACCAAAGCTAAAACCTTTAAAACTCATTAAGCTGGTACAACTGCATGCTTAACCGACCAGAACTCACTCACTCTTTTTTTAAAAAATCAGATTCTTTATCAAATGGCAAATCCAGGGTTAGCGTTTGGCTTCTGGTTTGCTTTTTAATGGCCACAGTTTGATTTCACAAGAAAAAGAGACCATTCAGTAAAGGATATGATTGGGTTAAATTCTGGCTTGCAGTAAAGGTCGCTGTTTTTATTAGCGGTGGAACTCGCTGTTTTTTAATCTGACCCTTCTGAAACCTCGGTTCAGTGCAGAATAAGCTCGTGCAGTTCAGATAAGACACTCATTTCAGCAGAGAACAAAACTGTCCGGAGCCACTTCTAAAACTCTTTTTTTTTAAAAAAAATGGGGAAGGGGGCAAATCTTACCAATTTCTCAAGCCTAATATTACAGTTTCGCAGACAGGGAAAGCGACACCGAGCTGGCTATGTTGCGCTCTTGGAAGTAGCAACCCAAAATCTTGAATTAAAACATTTCCACATTCCCCCATGTTTATGATAATCACATCCTTCAATGTGTCCTTTCGTTCACAGGGCCACACACCCCGTCCTGCGACATGTCCGATTTTTTTTAAAAAAGAAGTTATTTGCTGAACACGGTGAAAATAAAAACAGATATGCTCCAAACTTCGCAACACATTGAGGCTTTTAATCAGAAAGCAGTATCAGAAGTGAGAGCATTTTAAATATGTGATAAAACTCTTATAGATTTTGTAGTTTATTCCTATGCAAAATAAATGTTTTTAACACTAAAACAGTCCATTTTAAATCACTCCCCCTTCTCATTTTTGCTTTTAAAATATGTTTTAAATCCTTCAGCTTTTATTCAATATAATGACGTTTAAAATGATTCACTGACTTTCTAAAAGCAGGCTTTGACCTCGGTTTTCAAATCTTAACCCATAACAAGACATTCTTGTTCTGGCTTCATTATGTGAGAACAAATGGAACTATCTGGAGTAAATGGTGTTCAACCAAACAAGACTCGTTCTTGGAGCACTCCCCAAAAGGCAGTAAACACAAGTTAATCTTATGAATTAATCTCCATATTGCAAGGTCAGTTTTCTGCTGTGTTTGTGGTCATAATATCATTTTGTGAAAAGCAAATTGGTAAAACCTTATTCATGTGGAATTCAGGGAGGGGAAAACTGATCTTTATAAACAAATCTATAAAAAGCAAATACTTTTTTCCTGATGAATTTCTGAACCTTCGACATTAAAACAAACACCCAGACACATTTTGCTTCTCTCCCTCCCCTGCCCCAGGACAGACACACTCTGTTAACCCACTAAACCTCAATCCTAAACACGTTTACTCTGAAGTACATCCCAATGATTTCAACATCACTTTCTTCAAATCAAGGCTGCAATCCAGGATTTGGCCCCATTGAACTCAGTGGGACTTCCTTCTGAATACACACATATAGGACTGCACTGCAAATGGTTTAGGATGGCAGCCACAAGAATTGCAAGAAATACAAAATCAAAAGCTTTTGTTAGTGTCACCATCTAGTTAAGTATCTAGATGTATCTAAACACAACCAAAGTTCTTATTCCCCTCCCTCTTTCTCCCCCTTTTGGGCAAAGAAGCCCTTTTCACATCATGTCACACACTCCTTCATGTGTTTTTTTTCATATTCTTTTAACCTTTGTTAGGCAAGATGATATTCAGGGGAGGGGAGGAGAAATCACAGTAAACTTTCAAAGATCTTTAAAAGAAGAAGAAAGAGGAAAGTCATCTGCAAACATAAAGTAGGTCCTTATGCAAGTTGTGTTGGCAGGGGAGGGTTTTTTTTTGTTTTTTTAAGGGACGGAATAAACCAAGTAAAAAAAGAATTAAGAGAGACAGAGGCACAGAGCGAGAGAGAGACAGAAAGAGAGAGAAAGCCACCGGCCGTCTGGCTGGTTTTATTCTCCCGCCTTTGAGAAAAGCTGCTGCTACTGGCGTGATATTTCTTCTTCTTCTTCCAGAGAAAGAAAGAAAATCACCCCCACGTCTGCAATGGAAAGAGACCTACAATATTTACTGGTGTGGTTTGGTTAAGATGGAGAGACGGGACAGGGGGAGAAGGGGCGGGAGAGGGTGGGCAGGGAAGGCAGAGGCTCTCCCTCCTTCTGCCGGAGTCCGAGCGAGCCAGGCGCGGCCAGGGGCTTCAGTCCCCGCTGCCGTCGGCGCCCTCCGTCCGCCCGCTGCCTCCTGCGTGGCCCTCGAGCAGCTTGGCGACGGCGCTCCTCCTGTAGAGCTGAGCCAGGTCGTAGGCGGTGTCGCCCTTCCTGTTGCGGTGCCCCACGCGGCTGGCCGTGCGCTCCAGCAGGAAGGCCACGACGGGCAGGTGGCCCTCCTGCGCGGCCAAGTGCAAGGGCAGGTTGCCCTCGGCGTCCTCCACGTTCACGTCCGCATTGAACTCCAGCAAAGTCTGCAGCGTGTCCAGGAAGCCCGCGCGCGCCGCGTCGTGCAAGACGGCGAAGCCGGTGCGGTCCCTCAGGTCCGGGTCGGCGCCCCGCCGAAGCAGCTGTCGAGCGATCTCCGGGTTGCCCAGCTTCATCACCTGACGGGAGAAGGCGGGAAAGACAAGGGGGGGGGGAAACAAAAGCACACGACTGAGTTGCGTTCACACGTTACGAGAGCCTGTACCTCACCATAGCACCCTAGGGCGTCCTTACCTCAGAGAGCCGTCGCTTGACCTGGGTCGGAGAACCCAGCCTATCGATTTGTATTTCACTGGGTCGAGGGCTCGTGGGGGGGGGGCGCACCTAACGATTATCCTCTGCCCTCCCTACACCACCATTTCGGTGGAAGAAGGTGGCGCCAGCTGCTGTCTTTTTCGAGCTCCCCTGACTGCTCCGTCCTCAGGGCTCCGCTGCCTCCCTTCCTAAGGGATGCCATCCCGCCCCAGCCCGCTTTTAACAGCCGGGTGACAAAAGGCAGAGGCTCAGGTCTTTTCCCAGGCAGGTGATGGAGAAGTTCCACCTGCCCAGTCACCACTGCCCCTCAGAATTCCTGTGCTGGGAGGGGGGAAACAAAATTAAAGGAGAAAATTCTACTGAGGCGATGGGGGGGATATTCCTTCCTTTTAGGGTTACGAAGGATTCAATACCCCAGAAGAGTCGCGAGGGAGGGTATCTAACGCAGAACAGGGATTAATTGAAGTGGCAGACCTACTTAAAACGTGCGGGTGTGTGTTTCTTGGCAACATGCTGACATGATTTCGACGGAGGATCCTGAGGGCGGAGGGCGAAAACGTTCAGGGAACTTCCGTCTGTTTTCCTCGCCAATTTGATTCCCCTCAGCCCCTGCGCGCTGACCTCAGCCTTGGGGAGCCGGTCCCACTGAAACCCAAGGGGTTTTGTACCCTAGGCGCGTTTCCTCGAGTGAAATAACGAGGTCTTGAGATAAAACTGTTTCCCATCTTGATACTTCGTCCTCATCATGAGGTGGGGCGGACAAAGCGTCTGTTTAGCAGTTGGTTTATTGTAATTAAAAAAAAACAACCCCAAACATCCCACCACGGTCGGGAGTCACGTAAGCATTCAATAATCCCACTCTTCCCACCCACCCCCTTGTTAACCTTCAAGTGCGATTTAGTCATATCAGAACAGATGATATCAGAAGTCAAAGGCACATAAGCAGGTTGAGATAATACATTGAACTGCACTGACTTGTTGGTAGAAATGCAAGCTTTGGGGCATTTACTTTAGATGTGTTTCTGGGGGGGGGAGTGCGGGGGGGGGACCATGACACACGGAAATAAAAAAACGGAGTCAGACCCAAAAGGAAACTCTGTCAGACTGAGCCAGGGAAAGGAGAAAACTTCAGTAAAGGTGAAAGTCAGTTCCAATGATGAGATGAGAGGGCTGGAATAGTACTAGGAACAGAGTTCTGCTCCTGCCTTGGCAGTGAGCTACAACACAACCCTATTAGGTCTATATTTTAGACTAAAAAGTTTGCTTGTTTTTTAAAAAGATGACACATGAATAATTGAGAACAGCAGGTGTGCCACACCTGTTGACAGCGCACCCTCATGGATGTCTTTTCTCAGAGGAGTCTTCTACTGAATTCAGTTAGCCTTAATTTCAAGTAAGAGTGCATAAGAAGATCACAATCTTAGTTTCATTTGGTATCTCTATAATCACTAGAATGCAAATGCACACACATCCTGGTTTCCTCTAATAATTGGAGAGGGACAAACATATTCCTCAAATTCTTAGGCTTTGTTTGAATGGAAAAGTTTTCAAAGGTTGTTGGCTTCCCTAAAGGTCCTTCCCCTCCTTTTTTTTTTTTACTTTTTGTGAAAGCACTCCAACTGCCACTAAAAGGATGGCTCTGATGATTCAGCATCATTCATACTGCTTCCTGCTAAGGCAAAGGTAGTCCAATATTGCCATTTTAAAATAAATAATTTTAAAAATTGCAATATGGAACCTGCATAATATTTTTCAGCACAGGAGCAGGTCTGCCTAGTTCAGAGAGACCCTCATGCATTCTGAATCTTCACAATGACTTGGGGGAAAATTGCAGTCAGTTCTTTTGTAATATCACACATTGAAGGTTATGTTTCGGTCAAGTTCTTTTCTTTTTGGAACAGCCAGTTTTGAAGCATGATGTGTTCCTTATTTGCTTTCAATTCCACCCTCCACCCCCAGCTCTGTTCTACCCACTCTTCTCGAAAGGGATAGCTATCTGTCTGTCTGCCTATCTGCTCCATACAATTTTCTACTGCAAGGAATTTTGCCTTCCACTCTTTGCATAAACAAGGGGGAACACTTACAGTAAACAAAACTGGAAAGAGCTGTAAAAATAAGTATGTCCCAACTTTGTTGAGGTGGGTGGGGAAGTGAGAGCCAGACGATACAACAGCAGTAAGTGTGAAATGGCATCTACAATGTGGAATATTGACTAGGCGATACCTGCATGCTTTGCTGTATATCATCTGACTTCTCTCAGGCAGGTCTGGGCTGCAAATAGCCAGGAGGACTGCTAAGTCTTCTGGAAATTAATAGTAATGTTAAGTATTTGCAAAACACTCAGCAAGGTGAGTGGCTTCCCAACACCTCCAACACAACAGGTACTCCCGAAACATTTTAACCTCTCTCAGCAGGGCCTTATGACACCTTGTGCAATTTGAGGTAAGTAAGGAAAGCAGGATCAGGATGTGGAACAAGTTTCATTTAGTATACCATTTCAGATGTGCAGGTTGCTGATGTAGTATTGTTTTGACAAGGGAAGGGGACAGATACGAAAGAAAAGGCCTAGGAGCTTGGCCAAATCTAAAAGAGAGAGAGGCCTGCTTTAAAACATGCATACAGTATTCAAAATGCAGAAGGTGAGGAAGGAGAAAAGGTCAGAGAAAATAATAGCGAAATGCTGTCTGGATGAGCTAGAGGACCAAAGTCAAAGTGTGTTTTCACTTTCTTTGGTATAATATAGAGTAAGCAATATTGGGGACTGTGTTGACTATCAACTTTCTCAAATTCTATCATCCACCCACTGGTTTTCTCTGGATTATACATACTGAAAATAAGCAGTCAGCCTCTTCTATGTTTAGCTTTTATTCTAGAGGAGTGTGTGCGTTTGTGTGTGTGCACATTTGGTAGCGTGCGTCAAATCCTTGTTTACGATGAAGGAGCAATAAAAAGTGGGTGTTGGAAAAGATACACGGGCAGCCAAGAGAGTTCCCTGATCCATCTCTGCCTAGAAAATACACCCCTGTAATTTTTTTGAAAAATGGCCAAATGTGCCATTCAATTGTTGTGATCTGCTCCTGCAACAACTCGTTGGTTCTGCACTTAGAAGAGAAATTGGAGATCCATTTTAGAGGCAGAAACCTACACACACACACACACACACACACACACACACACACCCTGCTTTACTCAACAACCTCCCGGCCCTGTGGGCCTTGAAGCTTTCCTATTTGTAGGTCGGTAGAAGAAAAAGAGCCTAGAAGACCTCTGGGCATTGTCATCGCTCTCAGAAAAGGAAATAATTTAAGGATTATTGAAAGGAATTGTAAAGTGGGTGGGAAGATAGCTCACAGGCAGGGTTATTATTATTTTTTAACTCCCTTACAAAAGGGGGCTTCTGTTTCTCTCTCTCTCTTTTTAGCACCCACCAACATATGAGACATGTGGATCACCTTTTTGTAGTTTAAAGCACAAATCCCTTTTCTTTGAGAAGCCTAATCAGTAGTCCCAACTGCACTCTTGATCCTCTGCCTGGCACAAAAAAACACACAAAAAAAACCCAGTCGCAGGCTTTCACCTACGTTTCCACATCTCTTGCGTGACTGTTGCCCCCCCCACACACTTTTATTTCCCTCGTGCATTGTAACACTTTCAGCACCGTTATGCGATGTTCTTAAAAGAAAACATCTTTCAGCGGGTCCAGGATTTTAGGAACTGGAAGGGCTCCAGCTGCCGCCTCTAAATCTAAACAGTGGAAATGGGTGTATACAAGGATGGTACCTACGGCAAGGAAATCTTCGCCGCGGAGCGATCCACTTTTTAAAATAATAATCCAGGGCACTGTCTTTCCAGAGATTCAGATCGCCCAACTATTTTAATGTACATCTTAGCTATGCAGTGCAGATAGTAAACTTGGGGGGGGGGAGCGATCACCGCGGGGAGAGAGAGAAAGAGAGCAGGAGAGTGAAGCCCCAAACTGACCTCGCTCCCATCAGAAAGAGACCACCCCCGCTTTTAGAAAGCTAAACATATAATCGGGATTTCAAAGAATAGAAAGGAGGTGTTTACCGACCTGTAGTGAAAGACGACCTAGCCCGGATGGTTTCGTTCCCTCCCCCTCCCCCCTCCGCCACTTGCTTCCCTGCCCCAGAAAAAGGGTTGTTTTTCTTTTTTTAAAAAAAATCGAATTAACGTGTGGACGAGTTAGTCTACAGATATTTTTTTAAAAGCATTACTGACCAGTTTTACTTAAAGTACGTCACTTTAGGGAGTTGGAACCGCTAAAGTTATAAAATATGGCAACCAACTCGCTTTTTAAAAAATGCTGGGTGTTTTTTTTTTTCCTCCCCTCTTAAAAACGGTTCGCGTCCCCGTCAAACCAGTTCACCTAGTGGCGAAAGATTGCCTCTGTCCGTCTGGATACCAACCTGCAGCGCAGTCCTCCCAAATCCATTTTGTGCATTGACGTTTACATTCTTTTCCAACAAATTTTTAAGTCGCGCTAGGTCCCCTCTGGCAGCTGCGGACGCCAACTCATTCGCAAAAGGTTCGGCCATTCCTTGCGGACGATCGGCAGCGAGCAGATGACTTGCGCTTGCAATTTTTATTGTTGTTATTATTATTACTATCGCTCTTTTTAGCCGGGCATGGCATCGGAAACTGACAGAAGGAGTGGGGATGTTAATCTTCTGGAGTAGACCTTGTAGTAAATACTCGTAAAGAAGCTCCTTGCCAAAAGCCCGCCCCTTGGGTTCACACGTGACGCACACTGCTGCAGCTCCGCTTGAAAAGCAGATCTCTGCACCTCTAACACGCACAACGCTCCCCCCCTCCTGGAGGACCTTGGCCAGTGGGAAATAAATTGATATGTACCCTTGCAGCCAGTGTAGTACGCGGCCAGAGAAACACGGCCGCGCTAAGCCAAACGTGCGAGGAGAAGCAGAGAAGGTGAAGAACAAGGTGGAGGCAGGGAGGGAAGGAGGGAAGCGGAGATGGGGGGAAAAGGAAAGGACTCACCGCTCTTTCCAGCGGGGACGCCCGAGATCCGACGCGCGCTCCTTTCCACCGAAGAACCTCCCCTCGTAGTCTCGCGGGGGTCGCACAAACCAGCCCCCAGGACCTTCCTTTCCTCCAAGCAGCGGCAGCGAAGGAGTTAACCGCAGCCGGAGCTGCCAGATCGGCTGCCCTCCCTCCCTGCCTCCCTTCCCCGAGGTTGCTGGAAGCGCAGGAGTCCCCCCTGCTCCACGCCACCCGACCAAGGGCGACGAGGGCTCCGGGGACCCGGCGGCGGCGGCGGCATGCTTCGGGCGGAGCTCGGCGGTCACCAGCGATCTCCAGCCTGTGCACAGGCGCGCGCGGGAGAGGAGTCGCCGCCGTTTCTCTGGAGCGTCCGCGCCTCTCTCTTCTGGCGTCGCTTTGCTGCTGGTTTCCCCGCCTTCATTCAACCGCGGGCAGCAGCGATGGAGAGAGAGGTGCCGGGGGGCGGCGGGTCAGGAGCTGCCGCCGCTTCTTTGACAGGAGCCTTTGCCTCGCATCGCTCTGGAAAAGGCTGCGGAGAGGCAAAGGCAGCTTTCTGCAAAAAGCGCCTGCCGGGGTCGCCACTCTTCGCCCGGCTCTTTGCAAGCAAGCAGCCCCCTCTGCAGGAGCCCTTCGCCGGTCGCAGCCCAGGGAAGCCGGCTCTTCCTCCTCCTGCTGCTGCTGCTGCTGCTTCCCTGCTTCTCGGTCTCCTTCTTCTTTCTTCTTCTTCTTCTTCCTCCCTCTCCCTCTCTCTCTCTCTCTCTCTTTCCTCACCCCCCCCCCCCGCATCAGCTTTTTTTGAAAAGGAAAAACATTTGAGCGCTCTTTGACTTGAAACACCCGCCCACATTCTAACGGCAGAGATTTAAGGAGGCGCCAGCGAGTTGCCGGCAAAAGCAGGAAGGCCTTGCGCGGGAGGGCGAGTCCCGCCGAGGGCGCCTCCCACTCGCCTCTTTCCCCCGATGCTGTTGGCGGGCAGCAGCAGGCCTCCCTGTCCCGCGTCGCCGGACGAATGGACGGGGCCCTGCCTGCTCTCGCGGAGGGCCTGGGGCGCACTTGAAAGGAAATCGCGCGCGCCCCCAAGCACAAGCTGGCGCGCGCGTGCCCCTTTTCTTGCTGCTTTGCCATTGCTGCATCTACCTTTCGTACCGATCCCAAACCCCGCTCCCGCCCAAGCCCCTGTCATCTCCAGGGCTCCCTATAGGGTTTTGACGTCACTGGAGAGCTCTTCTCTAGCCCTAGATACAGGCCAAGCCGCCAAAACGATGCAAGCACGCTTTTTTTTTTATCTCTCTGTGTCTTAAGCTTGCAAGGATTTTTTGCCTGATCAGCGCAGAGGCGGGTAAAGGAGGCGGGCCAAAAGTTAAGGCTACGTGTAGTGAGTGTGCCCTCCGCGCCACAATCTTATTTTTCCTCCCCCCGCCGCGAAGCAAAATAGCTAATATCTTCCTCGAAGATTCCTTTCCTTTTCCACAGCCCACCCCTTGCCACCCGGGAATAGTGACATCAGACCGGTAGAAAGGTAGCTAAAGGAGGCGATATGCAGGTTTTCTTTCGCTGGGTCTCCGTTACTAAGGAGACGGCCCAGACAAGGTCACGTTGAAGGGTCAATGTCAGATTGCTCCGACTGTAGCAAACGAAAAAACGTTCATTTCTCTCTCTCTCTCTCTCTCCCACCCCCACCCCGTTGCCCTCCCGCCAGACTTGTGTCTACTGCTGCACCTTGGAGAAAATGGAAAGCGGGTTTGTCAGCATTGCTGCTTATTTCCAATGCAGGAATGAGAAAGAGAGGTGCCCTGGTGTACAAGACAGAAGGCAGTAGGGCAAAAAGGGTTTAGATGCCCGTCATATAGGTAGATTGAAATGTATTCTAAACATTATGAGGCATGGGAGCTGCACCAAACCTTAAGTGAGCTGTGGAATTAAGAAGTGAATTCAACATGTCCTTTTAAAATAAGTAAGAAACAGAATCCAGGAATGAACTCCACACAGGTTGTCCTCTCTGAAAGGTAGGTTGACTCAAAAGTGCTAAATAAGTCCAAATCAGGGACTCCCAACCGTTTTTGGGCCTGGGTTACATTTGGAAACCTATAATGTAAGCACCACAAAATACCCAGAAACACATATCGCAGCTATAAGCAACACCAACGCACCCGAAAACAAATAAAGCACAGACAAAAATAAGGAGACGGCACAACTGAAACAGGCAAAACCAAGCACTATTTAAAAAATAACCCTCAAACAAACCAGCTCCCCACCAAAGGAAAGAAAAAGCAGGCAACACCCACAAACAAAGCAGGTAAAACATGCCCACATGGGGCCTAGAGCTAGAGGCCTTCTAGGGAAAGGAAGGAGAGGATGGCTACACGCCTGCATTTTGCTTTCCAGACAGCCAACCAATGGTGAAAAAAGAAAAAGAAAACACAAGAAAATAGCAAGTGTCCTTGTAAGCCACCAGTCTCAAGAACCCTGTAGTGCCCACAGGAACCACATTTGGGACCCAAGGCCTAAAGCACATCTAGTTTGTGTCAGTAGGAATAAACCCAGTAGTTAATATATAAGGCTGGGCAGTAATTGTTACACTCAATATATTTTCAGAGACATTTTCTTTATTGTTATTTAACATGCTCCAAAGCTGAACCTCAGCACCAAAACAGAGTTGGAGAGTTCTGGACAAACTTTTTTTTTTTGCTGCAAATAAAACTGCCAACATTCCAATTTTTGTTGTCTCTATTAAGACATTAATTCCTATACCCTAGTCTTTGTATTGGTAGATGGGTAGGGTGGGTGAATCAAAGGCCTGAGAGGTGAGTCAAGATTCTTAACACTCCAGTGCTTAATATATTCACATAGCAGTAAATATAATTGATTTCAACAGAGTCTACTTGCATTTCAGTTGCTTTCAAAGGAGCCTACTGGCTTCAGACACCAGGCCCAAACATGACACAAAGGCTGTCAACTTGAAGCCTGCTGCGTGGGAATACATTGTAGACAACCACAACAACTGGAGGCAATCAGTCTGGTTGTGTATTCACAGCAGTGACCAGGGGAGGAATGATCGCTGGGAGGAGCACAGAAAGAATAAACACCATGGTCCACCTGCATCAGCACATCTGCCCCAGCTGCAACAAAACATCCTCTCCAGCCACATCAGTCACTGTAACCATAGGAGCCAACTCTGAGGGGCTGAGGTCCCTTTGCTCCTCCCCCAATAAAATATTTTCGGGGGCACCAACATTCAGATGGTGTGTGTACCACCTATTGTAATCAATACGCAGGGTGGGACTTACCTGCCCCCCCCAGATATTTTATTCCAGTTGGCATCCCTGCTTCCATGCACTCTCAAATTTTGCTCTGAGGGTTGGGGGACCACCTGGAACAGTTCTTGGTGGTGTGTAGGGGGCTACAGGGGGAAAGAGAAGAATGAATGAAAGTATGGTTGTAAGTGTCAGATTCCACCCCATGATTGGTAATCAAAACAATTGTTCTTCTAGTAGCATATTGTGTGGCTTACAATGAGTGACGTCTTATGTCAGGTCAATTGAACTTGACTGTCAGTTGCAATTCCATTATGCTTATTATCCCACTGAAATGATGTAGGCTGGACATGCAAATGTAGATCAGTTCAGAGTAGCTAAGAGGCCTCCTTAGGATAGAACATGACCCAACCTGATTCCTATTGGTGCAACTGTGTGACCTGCTCCCGATTGTGTTCCTTTTCTACACTTGCTGTATTATATCTGACAGAGGAGAACAATGTTGGCTCAGTAATATCAGCCTACGCTGTTGTGCTGATGCAGCGTTGTGGCTCAGCCAGTTCCACCAGCACAGTGGCACAAGCAAAAGTGCTAGTGCAATGATAATTGTGTCCTATCCTGCAACTGATATCAGTTGTGCTAAGGTTGGTGTGGCCTTAGGTCGTTATGTCCAATTTATTGTGCTTGGTTGGGTGCTGCAAGAGCCATGGGATTGGGTCGTAAACCTGGAAGCTCAAACCGCCAAACTAGCATTTGTATTTGCCCTTTCAAACTTTAGTTTCAGGTGCATTTTATAGGGTTTGGGTCCAGGTTTTGACTAAATAAGCCAGGGGGAAATACTGTCAATTTGTTATTTGCGCAAACTTTTTTAAACCAACATTCTTCCTGTGAAGCAAAATATAATAGTAATAATCAGAATTGAACGTACTGTTAGGGAGCAGTTAAGGAGAGCTGCTGCTGGGAAGGTGTGGGAGTGGGAAGCAGTGGTTTTTGCCTCTTGATTCGCTAGCAAAGTATTTGGGGATAGATGATACCTGAACTAAGCTGTGTGTACAGGAAATGGTTTGTATAGTAAAACTGGTGAGCCACTATCTTCCTGGAATCAGACAGCATTACACCTCTTTCTCAGTGTTGTGGTGTTGTTGGGGAGAGTGCCTGAGGCATGCTATCACATATGGTGTACATCTTGCGCCAGTTTCGCTTCCTCCTCCCCATCTTTACTCTAGTGGGTTAATCTCTTTCAATTCTCATTATAGTGGGGCAGACCTCTGGTAGCACTCTGAGGTCTATTAGTTATTTGTAGTCATGTTTTATAATCAAAACAACATTATCCTTGATTTTAGCAACATTTTTCATGTTTAATTTGAAAAAAAGATGCTGAACTTCTCCTCTTAACTAGTGATCCAAAAGCTTTTTTTCTTTTTCTTTTTTTGTCTTAGCTCCAGTTCAGGTTCAATAAGACGGTTCCAATTACAGTTCAAGTTTGGTTCTCATTAGAATAAAAATACCGTCATTTTGTTTCAACTTTGAATGTAGTTCAACTCCCTCTAGCAATGTGGAATATGCCCACATATAAACTTCATGTACTCTTAAGGCTTATTCACACAGGCAACTATATTACTCAAGAACATCACAGCTGAACATGTGAACTGCTTCTATTGAGTCTAAAGTAAAAGCAGATGTTCCATAATAGTCTTTCCACACATGCAA